GTAAAATTTACGTCATTCTTAGAATTTTGACACATTTAAGACTAAACTTTTACTCTGAGCGGCTTTATACATACGGCCCCTGAACTTACTTCAGTCACATTAGAGGGAATATCTCAACCTCCAGCCATACTTTAAACACCTTACATGTTGTAAAGCCATTATATTCTGTTACCTCACGTCTTGTCATCAGCCTGTTCTTTTGTTTTCCCTCCTTATTTTTCAGTGTGACAGTAATGGTTACATGTCGTAACATCGTTTCCACGTCCTGATATACCATATTCGATGCCCTGCTCCGACAGTCTTGTAAATTAATCCAGCATGTCACATTGTCACATCGAGAGCCTCCCATTTTCGCGGAGTACCAGGGGTCTCTTAAACACTGCCCACTCTTAGTGCCACATCCTTTTTCCTGAAGACCTCCAAGACCCCTTCAAGCATAAGAGCTTTTAGCTAGCCTGCGCTAATGTGTAGAATAATAGCTACTCCCTGAATCTTGATGGCCCCTGGAAGCTGACTGAATTTGTGCACAACAGCATCTACAGTGCAGTAATATTCCCCTTTTTATATCTATTCTTGTGTGCTGCCACCCCTAATCTAGTCTTATTACATCTCTCCCCTTCTATTCTCTTTGCCTCATATGGCCTTTCAATTTTAGCGTGATTAGTAAGGTGGAGGATATTATCTGTTCTGCTCAGAGACGTGATAGAATATTATGGAACAAGACTAATATTACAATTATGCAGTGCTTCACAACCAGAGACAAAGAAACACATATTGCATACAGCAGACAGACTTTGAGGCAAAAGTCTTGCAAAATGTCCTGTACAGTACATAAACGTACGCCAGTACTCAAGGATTTTGTTTGTTTGAGCCTTTAAAGTACATTTGAGAGCAGTTGGTGTCTCACGTTAGGGTTCAGGTAGCAGGTCATAGATCAGAATGAAAGGGAAACGTCAGTGTCCACACAGCATTAGATACTGTTTATCTGTTGGCAGTCTATCCCACTGATCCTCTCTTTACCACTAGCCCCCAGGACATCTGTAATCCACAGAAGTGACATATGAAGCCCAGTTGACTTCTTTTTTTCGCCTTGTTTGTTGATATTGCATCTGAATTGCTAATTTATTTGGGCTATCAACTTCGGTCCTTTGAATAAATGTATGCTCTAACTGCAGGATGGATTAAAGTTATACAAACCCTCTCTCAGTCAGTTATGCAAACCGCACCAGCTTACTATGAATAACTGAAGCATCTCGGAAACACCACAGCACGAACTTATCCTGAGCAAAACACATGAAATTGAATAAAAATCTACTCGGTGTCAGCTGTGTTTCCGGATGGCCTTTAGACAACTACCCACAAAAGTGTCATGTTGCCACAAAAAATAGAAGGCTAGATTGAGCTGTTTATTATAAAAAATAAATAAAAAAATGTGTTTCCACTGCAATTAAACAATTGAAATAGGACACCTCTTCTAAAAAGAGACAGAAATACATCAGAGTGGGGCTCAAAACATAAATTCTGGTTCAAAAGCAAATATCTGTCTATATTTAGATGACATTAATAATTACATAAACAAATAAAGCCTCAAATCTCACTCAGTTTTACTTTACTAAGATAATTACTGAAATAATTACTAGCCTAACAAAAGCATCCCAGCAGGCACCGGACGTCTATGTAACGTCAGGTTGACGTTGGACATGACGTCAGACAAAATCGGGTTGACGTCAATATTTGACGTTGACTTAACATTGGATTTTGGTTACACAACCTAAAAACAACAAAATATCAACGTCAGCTGACGTCGGTATTGGACATCAATTTAACATTGACATTAGACGTTGAATTTACATTGAATTTTGGTCACCCGACGTCGCAACCGAAATTTAACTAAATGTCAGCGTCTTATGACATTGTGTGCCTGCGGTGCCTGCTGGGATGGTGCGAATTATGAGGTGGGGGGACGTATTCAGGAAGTGACAACTAAAGGTGTTTTTTGTGTTTTTATATTTATCAATAGCGTTTTAAACACCGTACAATTAACCACACAATTTGATTACAACTTAAGATTGCGCTAAATGTAAACGCTCGCGAACAGAACTCGCCATTACGCGAGTAGTAACCATAGCAACAGCTGTTCGATCGCTGTCAGTATCGGAGTGTACATCAACAAACACGAGTAGGCTACTGTTATCATTTATCGCGTTACTGCACAACAAACTCGTTAGTGTTTTGTTTAGAACATTTTAAGATACTTGACGTTGCTACTGAATATGCGCTAGGGGCGCCAAAAAACTATTCGGATTGCGCGAGACGAAATTCATCCGATCATTACTGACAGAAATTACCTTAAAAATGTCCCCCTCCTTAAAGCCATTAAATAATTCGCACAGTGGAGAGATGTAGCCAGTACACAGAGTGAAGTCTAACTGATAGCTGTCTAACTGTACCTGTTCAGTGCAGTGTTGAAGCAGGAGAATGGATGCAGAAACTCAGGCGCAGAAAGCAAATAGCCTAAAGTTGCAATGTTATCGGAATTTAACTCATGTCCAGTTCCAAATACAAAAAAAAAAAATTTCTAAATTAAAATGAGTAATTTATGTCGATATCTTTAAGTCCTTCTTTTCTCGTAATGTGTGGGCTGGGTGGAAAAAAAGGTCTGTGGAAGAGCAGGTGAGCACATTGTCTTTTCAAATAGACGGCGTCGAGAAACCGGTGTAGCCTAATCATTCTGTTGAGATAAAGTTTTTTTTCCCCCAGTCTCTTTGTAAATATATTATAATTCTATTTCTAGCTACAGTTTAATGCAAGAATAGTCCAACTTGGCAATGGCATTGACAACTACTGAATTATTGCGTAAAATGAAATCAGTCACTTTCCGCACACATCTAACATTTTTCATGATATTCGATAAGACATTTAAGTGCTTAGTCTTTATCCCTCGCGAAATGAAAGCGAGTCCAAGACATTTAGTGACTGAGTGTCCAGCAGAAAGGTGACAGAGAGATCAGAGGTGGCGGTGTTAATAAACAGGTTTCCTCTACACCGAGGAGGCGTTTTCCTTCTCCAAACATTATTGCTTTAATGTTGTCATGTATTTTTCCACTAAGCTCGCACTTCGAGCGTGCCTTTGGGGAAAGATGCTAACAAAATAAGTTGGAACACCTGTTTTGGAAAAGAAATTCATTGCAGCTAAAATCCTGCCTACCCAGTCGTTTATTCACTCACAATAACATTTGCTTGCGACATGGAAACAACACGCCTTTCCTTTTGTCCTCGTTCAAGGAAAAGAAAAGGGCTTGTTGCTGTGAGAGTGAATCCTATTCTAAACTTGAAGGAAAGTTTTTTTTTTAAGTTATGAATTAAAAAAAACACATAATTTAGTCAATCTTTGTACGTACTGAAGAAGGAATACTGTCGGGAAAAAATACTCACCATCAGGTAAAAATCTCGAGGGATGCATGTTATTAAAAATATGTAACATAGTAAAATCGTTCATATAGATAATAACATATGTGAATAATAATCGAAAATAATAATAATGCCAATAATAATTTGTATAATAATAATAATACAAATACAAAGTTTTGTTTTGAATTCATTTGCAAATGGCTTTTCTAACCCAAATTTCCTAAAGAATTTTGATCAACACGTACAGTAAATAATCTCATTAATAGGTCAAACAGCTGCGCTGCTGTCATTTGCTCTGACAGCCCAAACATGCATTGGAATGAATGAGACCACTGAAATGTGCTTTGGAGGATTTTTCAATAGCGGATTTTTTAGGATACCACAATTAATTACGTCTGGTATCACACGAACTGCTTGATTTATTTTACATGTAGCCTGGCATAACATAATTTGTTTTGTATCAATAAAGATGTTTTAATCATTACTCACGATGCTGTGCAGGGTCACTTCACATTTCGTTCAAACGAGCTGTCACAGAACACAATGCAGTGGCTTTAAACCACAAAAAAAGAAGAGGGGAAAACTTTTACATTTACGGAGGAAAACCAGTAATGTGCTGCGTTCTGAATACACTTTTTAATTTCAACAAAGAGCAGGAACAGCGACTACAGAAAAGTAGGTTTAAGGCTTTGAGAAATCTGCTTACATGCTGAAGCACCTGATAGGATGGTGAGAAATCAACATTTGATTGGCTAATGGCTCTCTAAATAATGTGTCCAAATAATCCTATGTTTTTTTCTTCCATAAAGCAGAACTTTATTTTAGCGTGTTAATTCAAATCTATGAGCAAGACAGCTGTAAATGCAAGTTAATTGACAATGTTCACGTGTGCTACACAGCAACACTCGGTGTAAATTTTCTGTGCGTAAATCAAACTTAGGATAGACAATAGACTACTGTTCTCTTCTATTACAGATACTATTTTATATCAGTCAAATGTTCATTAAGATAGGGACCGATTATAAAATACTGGTTATTTATATATGTTTGCCTTGGTCATAAAAGCGCACATGATGGATGCATGCCTTATTTTACAATAAGAACTTCTCATGCGTTTTGGGGATAATCTTACGGTTTTATCCTAGTAGGAAGAAGTCTATTTAACCGTATTCAGATAACAATAAGAACATGTCAAAGCTTCAGCATATTCTTCATCTGTTGACTGTGGAGGCTAGGAGGAGGGATCTAAAGTAAGAGCAAGGTCTTAAGTAGAAAGAAGCCCATAGCTCAAAGACAACCTTGGCAAGCGAAACTATTTTCACGAACCCGGGCACGCACGAGGTCGAGGCTGCGGTCACTTCTCGGGGCCTGCATACCACATTTCATGAATGTTGTGAGTTGGGTCTTATTTTTAAACATGGTGATGAAATATACTATTCGCATGAATTGCATGATATTATAATATAGAAATGATACGAGAGTAATTAGAAAAATATATATATTTCTTGTATTTAATTTTCTGGGAAGAAAATTAAAGCTGCATTGCAAGTGCACTTAATCGTACACATTGGTGCGATTTATATTTCAAATGCATCATGCTGAGCATGCATCTACACTGAAGGAGTGTACACATTTCAGTCAGCACAAACAGCGCTTGTACATAATGTAAAGAATAACTTTAACAAAATCCACACAGAGAACATATTTTTGAAAAAGTGCATATCCTTACAGATATCCCACAAAGGTCCCCGTATCATTCGTTTTTGCTCGAGCGGAGTCTTCAACTTCACTTGTTTTGTATTCCTCTAAATCCAGCGGACCGCTCTTATTGGTAGGTGCGAGCGTTACATCACAATGATTATGACGCGCCGTCTTCCTGCTTCCTTCAGCCGCGTCTTAAAGTGAATCTTGTTGGTGCGAGCGCGCGCTCTCAGCCTCCTCCTGGCCGCGTGCGCTGAGACATACAGTTTTCATGCAGAGAGAGGAGCGGCGCACAAGAGCTCTTTCTCTATCTCACTCTCTTCGCTCTCGCTTGTCCCGAGAAATTACAATATTCATCACAGGGCGAACAACCCTCTGTATTCTCTGTTACACTATCGCGAAGAAGCTCAATTCGCTCTCATCTTCAGAGTAAGTAACCTTGTCATTTGCGCTGGCGCTGAGTTTTGTTCTACTAGGTACTGATGACTTTTCATGCGATGCGCTGTATGGCTTTATCCTTCACGCTCTTCGGTTGCTGTTAACTTTATCATAAACCCGTGTCATTTTGAAGGGACTGCATCCTTACGTTTGCGGAAAGTAAGTATAATTACGCTCTTGTGATATTGCTTGTAGACTTTGGGGAGGCGACGCGAAACATTTACGTTCAGTTCTGAACTTGCCGTTTATTCTTCGCAATAGGACAGTCCGTTTCTTGTGGTCTTAATGCCGTTTTTACATTTTCTGTATCTTTATTACTTCCGTTTGCTTTTTGTCAGTCGTCTGTTGTTTTATGACAATAACAAATTACCGCATAATTTACATAGATGCGCTCGCTGAATTTACGGTAGGCTATCTCGTAAAAATAAAGGTTTCGATAGAATAGGGTTTCCAGACTGTTGTCATGGGAGAATCTTTTAAGTTTCACAAAGAGCTTATTATTCATTAGTTGTTTAGAAAGCCTGTTATACTGCTTTAAAGAGCCGAGAAACAACGACAGTGAAGAACCTATCATGTAATATCAAGAACTTTTTTGATCTTCCAAACTGCCAACTAACAAAATAATGGTTCTTGATCAAACGATGGCTATTTGCTGAAACCAAGGTGTTACCAAGAACCATTGATGAACCTTTATTTTTAGGAGCGTTAGCTTATACTGAGCCTCTGACTTTTACTGCCACTCCAGCTTGACGCGTTATTCATCATCATCATCGTTTTCTGACGTGAAAGCCAGATACATCAAAGCTTTGCTTCAGTTTGCGGGTACATCAAAATCGTATGTTTAGGAAAGAATTGCCGGCGTATATAAAGCCGTAAAGTCTGTTTCAGATGTTTAGTGTCAAAATGAATGTCACGCACGTTTATAAAATATTTTAAGTTTGAGGTGCAGTGTATTACCCTATTCCTCTTAGGGCAGGATTTTCTATCAGGGCTCCGAGGAGAAAAAAAAGTATATAAATCATAATTTTCTTAAAATGTTATGACATTTCTAACTATGAACTAATCTTGAACTTTCTAACTAAACATATTTTAAATATATATATAAATATTAATGTTTCTGACGAAAAGTTACTGAAAAAAAATGACTAAAGGTGTTACTGATCAAATCTAGCCGTTTTAGGGGTCTCTAGGTTGGCTGAGAGACTGAGTGGGGTTCTTGGATCTTTAAAGGTTCAAACCCCCTAAATCCGAGAACTTGCTGCATGGTGACTAAATGTTTTGGCTATTTAACACAGCAACCGAATCGTGTGCGTTAACATATATATATGTACTAAAACTGAATTGCATTTTCTATCACAACTTTTTGAATTGAAGTTGAACAGCTTGAATTTTTTTAAATGAAAAGGTGCGCATAGGACGCAATGGCCGTATGAGGTGAAAGACGTCTAAAACGAACAGATTTTGTTGCCTTTTTTCTTGACTTGTCAGGTGTCTATATTTAGTGGCAGCAAAAGCAGTATTTCCGATTTGTTTCATATTGTAAATGTAAACTTATGACTATGTTAATCGGTGCGTCTTGAAGCACAGTTGTTTTAAGTTATAGGCTTCGTCATATGGTGTATGTCACAGAATAGGCTATTAGATATTTATTCTAGATATTTGCAAACCTGGCCGTGCTGGTCAATATGAAGACACTATCACATTAAATTACTGGACTTTTTCTTTTCCCTGTAACATTTTATTTGTATGTTTGGAGGAAGTAGTCGCGTTGTTCAATACCTGCTTAGCAAAGCTGTGCACTTTATGCTCAGTGCAAGACGAAATACCCTAGTCTATTTAAAGTGCGTTACATTCATAACAATCAAAGCTACATATTTGCCTTTTTAATATGCACGGAGAACTCATACTTATTATCATCTGATTTAAGCGTTAGTATAATGTTGGCCAAACTTAAATCACCGTCAACTTGTAAAACTAGCTTTTATTACACTATATTTTCCACAAAATGGGTTTGATTTGAATTTATTTGAACAACCATAAACCAATTGTTTTTGTAAACCCAGAATTTTATTCATGAGGTGTATTATAGCCTACTTGTTGTATTATGATTTTTTTTTAATTAGATGTGGGAACATATATGTCTGCTAATCTCCAAAAGATAATATTAAGGCCGCTACTGTAAGTGTCTTTGCAAATATCAAGGGTACCTCAAAACTTACCAAAGTGAACAAAGCTTGCAAGTTGGCTGTGTGAGCACAATAGTGGCGGGACATGTCTGGCTAAACAGAGCAGTGTGATTTTTAACTGGTTCTTACATGAGAATACGTTTTGGTGTGCAGCTCTACATAGATTTGGGTATGACTTCATTTTTTTTTTTTTTTTTTAGTTTTTTCAAATACTTAGTTTGGAACGATTTTCGTTGGTGAAATAGAACAACAGTCAATATTGTGTCTAAAAAGTAAGTAACTTAATGTTAACTAATTGTGTATTGAACTATGTAACATTTGCAATCGTGATAATCAGCAAAACCATTTTTTTTTTTTTTTTTTAGATTATTCAAATAATTTGAATGGCAAGTTTGTAACTGATCCTTATTATATACTTTTTGTGGTCAACCTCTTTGTCAATTTTTATTTAGTATACTATAGACTGACTTCAAATATTTTTAATACATTCTGTGTTGTTCTCTAGAACATTAGTCTATTTCAAACTGCATTTAGCATTGGCCACAAGAAACTTGGAGACATATAAAGAAAATTATTCATCAGTCCTTTCTTTTTGGCTAGGTTCCCAGGGTTCTCGAGCTGTGCCCAGCTGACAGGCTTTCAAAGATGGCAGAATAACAGTTCCAGTGATGCCTGACCATGACAGCACATCCCTCTTAAGCAGACAAACCAAGAAAAGAAGAGTTGACATAGGAGTGAAGAGGACTGTTGGGCAAGCATCTGTGTTTTTCACCCAAGCAAAAGCAACCTTTCTTAGTGCCATGAATCCCCACGGTTCCGAGCAGGATGTTGAGTGTTCTGTGGTGCAGCACACAGACGGCGAGAAGTCCAACGTGCTTCGCAAGCTGTTGAAGAGGGCGAACTCTTATGAAGACGCTATGATGCCCTTTCCTGGGGCAACCATCATCTCCCAGCTTCTGAAAAACAATTTGACCAAAAATGGTGGCAGTGAGCCTAATTTCCAGGGAAGTGGCCTCTCGAGCACCGGTTCAGAGATCCAGCAGGAGGATGCTTGCAGCAATTCCTCACGGGGCAGCCCTCAGGAGTGCCTTTCACCATTCAACAGGCCCTCCATGACCCAATTTGAAATGGAGAGGCTAACAGATGAGCATCTTAGGGCCAAACGAGCCCGGGTGGAGAACATCATCCGTGGGATGAGCCATTCTCCCAGCGTCACACTCCGTGCAGGTGATAATGAGCGCGAGGGGGTAGCCCAGCCCCCGAGTCCTCGTGAGAACTACCGGGAAAACAAGCGCAAGCAGAAACTGCCACAGCAGCAGCAACAGAGTTTCCAGCAACTCGTCTCTGCGCGCAAGGAACAGAAACACGAAGAACGCCGGCAACTGAAACTGCAGCTGGAGGACATGCAGAAGCAGCTCCGGCAACTGCAAGAAAAGTTCTACCAGATTTACGACAGCACTGACTCGGAGAACGACGAAGATGGAAACATCTCTGAAGACAGCATGCGTTCTGACAGAATGGACAATCGCGCCCATGGCTCTGTCCCAGATCGCTCCGACAACGAGATGTCTGATGTGGATCCGGGGCACTTCCTGGATCGAGCATGCGCACTTATTCGGGTGCAGAACATGGCGACAGAGGGGGACAAACCCAAGCGTGATGGCTCACGAGGAAAGAACCAGGGACCAACCTCCATGCATGCAGAGGGCAAACAGTTAGCAGAGACACTAAAACAAGAGCTCAATACAGCAATGTCCCAAGTAGTGGACACCGTGGTGAAGGTCTTTGCTAAGCCTCCACGCCCAGTTCCTCAGGTTTTCCCACCCCTGCAGATGCCCCCTGATCGTTTCGCAGTCAATGGAGAGAACCCAAACTTCCACACTGCCAACCAGCGCTTGCAATGTTTCGGTGATGTCATCATTCCTAATCCTCTGGACACTTTTGCTAGCATGCAGGTGCCCAACTCGAATGACCAAACGGAGGCCCTGCCTTTGGTAGTGAGAAAGAACTCCTCAGATCAGACTGGGTCTCTTCCCACACCTGGGGCTCACCACCATCCCTCCCTGCACCCCTCACCCTTATCTTCCACAATGGGCTTTAGTCCTCCCTCTTTCCGCCATCCTTTCCCCCTTCCTCTAATGGGCTACCCTTTCCAGAGCCCCTTAGGTGCCCCAACAGTGCATTACCCAGGAAAGGATAGGTCTTCTCCTGAGTCTCTGGATCTGTCCAGAGAGACCACCAGCCTACGGACCAAGATGTCGTCCAACCACCTCAGCCACCATCGTTCCATCTCACCAACACACCCAGGGAATGAAGGCTTGTCCTTGTCCCTCATCAAATCAGAGTGTGGAGACCTTCAGGACATGTCTGACATCTCTCCATATTCAGGAAGTACAATATCCTTTAAAAAAAAAAAAAAGCATTTTATGATAATTGTATTTTTATTTGTTTAGATAAAAAAAATTGAGACAGCTCTGATGAGAGTGCAGCTTAAATACCATATGAATGACAGACAGATCTTGAAAGACGTAAACTTAATTTCAATGAATCTCCATTAATTGGCACATTCACAATCAGTGTTCCTCTAGTAGTCCAAAGATTAAAAAGAGCTCAGTGGATGGAGGCTTTTAAGTGTGCGCTATATGGAGAAGTGCTGAAAGGCCCCGCCGTGGCTAAGATACCTCCCATCTTCTCTGTTCTCACACTATCACAGGGAGACTCACAATAAAAACCCTCTCTTTCATCACAGCGCATGCAAGACTTTGTACATAAATGCTCAAAGCAAATCATATTTCAAAGCCAGGAAGTAAAAGGACAAGTGGGATCCCTTTGCTTAGAGGCCCTAGAAAGTTGTGTTAGAAGGATGGTAAAAGATCTCTGTCAGTGGAGGAGCGCTTCATTTAGGAGGATTTGTGCTCAGTTGGTGTCAACGGCAACAAGGGTAAAAAAGTCCCAACTGTTGAGCTTCGTAATTAAAAAAATTAATTCTCCCTTTTATTTGCTTTTATTTTACATTATATGTGAGCTCAAGAAAACAACAAAGCCTATTTCTTATGAACACCACCAGCTTGCTTTAGGTAAAAGTACACTGATAGCTGTTGCCTGGCAGTAGGTCTTTTCTTTTTATCCTGTTTCTCTGGTGTGAACAGGTGTTTGCAGGTAGCTGCTTTTCTTTCATCCCTTTCCCTCTTTTTAACCTTTTGCCAAATGGCTACTAGATCTTTGATAAGCTTCGAATTGTCAAAATGAACAAAACCAAATGTTCAATATAAAGTATTAAACAGTAATTTTTGAATCTGAAGATTAAATATTAAATTATTTAAATTTTTAATTGCATGATTACATTATTTATTACAATTAACTGGCAAAATAGTTGATCCTAACGACGCAAAGAGAATTCACCAAGTAAGCACTCTTCAGCTCAGAGAGAGTCTATTATTTCTGCACGTATACTTGCACACCTGCACAGTTGGGACCTGAACGACAACTTCTCAATATTTGCAAAATAGGGTGTTTAATCAAATATGAATTTCTATTCAAATTCTAGAAGAAACAAGCAGCCAATTATCTTCAGCCATGGGCAGCATGATCTTCCTTGTCACGTGCTCTCTTTGCATCTCAAGAAAAATAGCCTTGTTCAGTTTCCCCCATCATTTGCATATAGAGAGACCGAACAGCTCTGGCACAGGGCTGTTGTAAGAATGGGGTGGGGGTGGGCGGCAGGTGAAGCCAGTTTGCATGTCTAATATAGTAGACGAGGACAGAGGTTCATGGTTGCGCTAGCTCCATGCTCAAGTGCTGAGGCAGCTATTGCACATAGATTCAGGTTTCATCAATTAAAGTGAAGCAAAGAAAACGTGCGCTATGAAGACATCGCTCAGATCACTTTTCAAACTCGCTTGCCAAAGTGGTTTAATAAAAGACCTTCTCGATTTCAAAATCACTTTGCCGGTGGAATGACACAATTCGAGTCCATTCTAATTTATATATTTTTATGTCAGAAGATTGTCAAGTGATTCATCAAAGTATTTTTTTTCCAGCCGACAATCTGAAAACGCTTCCTATTCTATTTTTCTAAGCAAGAGCTAAAGTCTCTGCTGTAGTACATTTGTTGCTCTAATCTTTCATATTGCTGAACAGATGTCTAGCATTAATTTATGGATTTAGCATCCCTATGTCCTTTTTCCCTCCTTTCTCTCCTTACACCTGGCTGTTGGATCATATTTCACTAGTTATTGTCTCCCTTACATGCAACATGCTTAATACAAAACCAGACCTAAAAAAGCCTGATGATGCAGTGCATCTATGGTGGCGTTGTTTATGTAGTATCTCATTTGGCTATAAACCACAGCTGCCCCATAGATCTCCTCCCCTGAAATACTTCATATTCATGTTTGCATTATGTCCTTCATTCATGTTGACTATGGGCCAGCTTGTCTTACACTGACTGGGCCAGTGTTTACTCGATCTATTTTGTCATTTCGCATATTTACGTATCCTAGAAACAGCTGTATTTTTCTTGGAAGCCAGGTCTACTTGTAGGAAATGTGCGTTAGTTGAGTCAAGCCCCGTCGAGTCATCCCCAACACATTGTTCCCAAGATCCGTGACTGTTTGTTTTACTTAAAAGTAAATGTCTTGAATGTTAATGGCACTGAGTAATGAGATACCTGGGATTTATGAATGTTGTTAACAGAGCAGAGGAAGGGCAGAATAAACTGATATGATCATCGCTCTGTAAATACTGCGTAGAGATTGAACAGTGGTAACTGCGAATGCTTCCTCACTGCTTTCAATGTGCGACACCCATTAGATTAAAAAGCATCTCAATGTGATTAATCTCTTGAAAAAAAAAATACAACTATGAAAGTGTTTATCAGCCCTCTCGTTCCAGACTCCAACACAGTCTATTATTCGCTCCATTTCATGAAGAAGCACTTTTGAGAAGCGGCCCCGCTGCTTGGGCTTTTCCCTTCCCTTGGTTTTTAAATGAGCCTTTAGGTCCTTGAAAAACCTGACTTGTTGTGAAAAAGACAGCTTAACTCTCTCTCTCTCCCTCCCTCGCTGTCATTCACTGCTGTTATTTGCTGTATGCATTATGACAGATGGTAGGAAAGAGAGTAATGCTCTTTTGGTCTTCCCTATCAGCCTAATGGAGGTCACCTAGGGTTTTCCTCCTTTCCTCCTCTCTTGGCAGAAGGAACACGTCAATCTACATGCACACCATTATTAAAGAGGCTCACTGTTGGAAATTGCACAGACAGTCGATTTTTAGTGTTCCTTACATGTAGATGCATTTATTATTGTTCTTATAACTTGCAACTGTTCAAGCGCTTAGCGTTTTACATAACAGACACAGTGATGTACCGTATTCGGTGTGAGCTGCCATGATGGTGCCATGCTTTATAGTGAAGGCGAGCGCTGGGTGAGCCTCTTAATTGACCTTGTGGGGGCCCATTGATTTAGCCCCACATGCATCTTCATTTTTGATAAATTATAAAGCCGTTAATTTGCAGAGGAAATGGCTGGGCCAGTCTGGAGCGCAGATGTGGCTAAAGCCGGCCTAACTGGCAGAGCGGGGGCCGTTCCAGGAGGCTCAGGGTGGAGGGTTGGGGGTTGGGGCTAATTGTAATGGGTAGATGGCTCTGGTTAGCCACGGTCTCTCCTGGGACCCCCCTCAGCTGCCCTCTGTTTACCAATCTAGAGGGCAGTGCCACCTCCAGATAAATAGCGCTTTTATTGGGATAAGCAGACGTTTATTGACTTGCAATGCTACATTGACTGGGACTCTGTAGGTTTTAATATGAAGTCGTCAGAATACGGGAATAATTAGGGATAGTTTGCAATGGTGTAATTATTAGCTTTTTGATAAATACATGAAAGATGTAAGGTTGGCTTATTTTATGTTTATATATTGTTTGATATTTTTATTTAACATCAGGCCATCGTAAAGAAGTGCAAATGTGGTTTACTACCGGTGAACGTCTAAAATAATTCTATTTCTAAAAATTTCCTTGACATTCAAATTTCAAATCCAAGAGGGGCTTTCTCCGAACCATCTGAAAAAGGCCAAGCTGATGTTCTTCTACACACGCTACCCCAGCTCCAACATGCTGAAGATGTTCTTCTCAGACGTGAAGGTGAGTTCGCCATTGACCGTTAACTATGTCGTGTGAAGTAGCGCTGTCCCTCTAGTCCAGATGGGTCCCAAACAGACAGCCGGCTCCCCGACCCCTCCACCCCCCAATTAAAATAACTGGCCTTAATCTCCGAGAGGAGAACAACACGGCATAGCACAAGTCCCACTTTCCCTTTTACTCACTTACGCTTTCATTTTAAACACTGATCGTGAGATTACGTTTTTTACCTCTTTTTTTTGGTCGCGCCACTACAGACAACTAGTCTCAGTTTCTGTTAACTTGTCGGGACGATAATTTCCGAGAGTTCCCATCCCCAACTGATCTGTGGAAGTGGGAGGCAGAGGGTGATAAGAGCTGAGAAAATTAGAGGTTCGGCAGAAACTAACAAATGAAAGCGGGAGGGGACGGGGAGGAGGAGGGAGACAACAAACAAAATGGAGCACAACAACACAAACAAAACAATGGCAGTGATTGTCTTTTATTTACAACTTAATTTGTTGTTGATGTGTCATACAGGGAGCATACGGAGGAGAAATAATGTGACAGATTCAGGCCACATTATTTAAATGAGGAGAGCAGGGTCCTCTCACTCCCAGCTGCCCCTGTGCCGGGTCCAGGGTGACCACCTCATCCTCACACACATGCTTCTGTTGCATCCATCTAAATCTGCCAGCAGCTTAATACTCATGTGAATGTACTGCCATTCATCGCTCGCTGTTAGCGCTTATGCTCTGATAGGGAATTATATAATATCTAGAAAATAATATGAATGTAATATTTGAGAAAGCTGATTTATTGACAGACAGTCCTTTTTTAATTTTTAACTCTGATTTTAAGAAAACCTAAAAACTTCTTCTAATTCATATAGTTTGTACCTTAATTTTCAGCCACAAAAGAGAAAGTTAATCAAAGCCTTAAATTAAAGATGGCCCAATTATAATTCCCCTTTAGACAAGGCGGTGAAATTCTGTACACATTAAATTAACATTTTGCAAAACAAGGTCAGTGTCCTGGGAGAGATGGTTTTTCAGGGCTGCTTAAGCAGACGGGAACAATAGGTGGCATGTGTTTGTTGGATCAACTAGTATGTATGTAAGGGAATTAAGCATAAATTACTGACTAATTATGGCTGTATAAGCCCACGAAAGTTACAGGAATTAGTGATTAAAGACGTTTAGGCACCATAATGATGGGATCTAAATAGGACCAGATTCACAATCTAAGTGCATGCTGTGTGTGAGGGGGGAGACTTAAAATGCACAGACCCCCGTATAAGTAGCGTCCCCACCAGGCGTGTGTGAAAGCCTGTATTGTCCATGGCTAACAGAGGAAACGTGTGGAGTGACAGGTCAAGTCTTCCCCCGGTGTCTTGGAAAGAGCGGATCTCTGTCACCAGAGGAATAATCTTTCACAGGCCCGTGAGCAAGAGTATGTGAAACGCTCTCGCCCCCGTACGCTGTTCTCTGAGTCAACTGCTGCCCGGACATATCACAGGCGTCAGGCTGATTTGTTTTATGAATCTTTTGAGCGTGCTCATTGGATATACAAGGTTTTTTGTGGGGGTAGAGAATAACAGGATGAGGTGTCCCATGGGAAGCATCGAGTTTGGTGTTCTTAGAACAGCACTGGAAATGATAGAATAATAGATTTTTTTTATGAAACTAGTGTGTTTGTGTGGGTGTAGATTTTTACGCATACATTCAAAAGCATCTTGCTGATTCGTCTTGCTGATCAAAGTATGTGCAAGTGGATTGTGATTGCAACCTAAAAAAAACGTAAAATACTAAAAAAAAAAAAACTAAATAAAATCCTAATAAAGTTGCAGTTATTGTAATTAAAAAGGTTTCATATACATGCTCAAGTCAAAATTTATTCTAGACACTTTCTTCTAGAAAAGTGAAGTCCATTAGTTATCTTGCTTGGATTATTTAAAATAAATATTTTTTATTTTTTATAAAGTATTGTAAATGTACAAAATATTTATAAAATATATATTATAGCTTATGTTACTTGAAATGTTCATTTATAAAAAAAAAGTATATATATTTGTTACCATTCAGTATCAAAACAATGTATAATGTTTATAATAATAATAATAATAATAATAATAATAGTAATAATAATAATAAAATTTAATAATTAATAATAATTCAAGTTTGTATGGCAGTTTTCATAATACATATTGTTTCAAAGCAGCTTCTCAAAAAAATGCATGTTGCAATGTTATAGTCAGGAATTAAAAATAAATTAATAATAATAATAATAATAATGTTTAGAGCACCAGGTGAGTGAAGAATTGCATTGGTGCTCCTCAAATAAAATAGGTGCATAAAATTACAACATGCCAACACTTTAAAAACTTTTTAAAAAGTTACTTGTAAAATTTAATAGCTCGATTCAGAATCCAAAAAAACGTATTGTTCGAAACCAACCCATCTCACTTTCTCTCCCACAATCCCACCAAGACAAATGAGTGTTCGCAAGTGTTTTTTGTGCAACGACGTATCATTTAGTGTTTTGTTCCGTGGGGTGGCTGAGAACTGAGAGAGCTAGACTGGTTATTTTTGTTTGACAAGCAGATGACATGATCCTTAATTGCTGAGTTGTCACGTTCCAGCAACGCGGCTCCATTGTCCCCCGAATCTCTGGTATTTCTATTCGGCAACAATGCTTTTTAAATCTCCCTTTATACAGCGCTGCCAAACGATGTCATGCGGACTTACTTTTCTGCGCTCTCCATTATGTCATCCACTAGCCATTCTAGAAAAAAATGCCCCCCTCTCTCGCCTTTTATCCGACTCTTCTGGAAGCCCCACTCATATGAGACAATGTCTTATGACAATAGAATAGCCTAATCTCCATGTCAAAGCAATTTTCATTCCCCAGTGAGCAGTCTGCTATCATTTTGTAATGTTTTGTTTCTTATTCTAAAAGAATTAAGGGGATGGTGGGGGGCTGGAGTAAGTCGTCATGGGGGCTGGGGGTCCTTATCTCAGTGTCTGGAAATTTGGACAGTGCATTTCGCTCCGCAGATAAAGCAGAAAAAAAGAAGCCCCTCGAGTTCAGTAGATCCTAATAGGTTTAACGTCTATTGAAACGGGGGTAAGCGAGAGATCAGATAGCCTTGCTTCTTTCGTTGTTCTTTTTTTTTCGCCTCTTTCTTTCTTTTCAACCCCTGTTCTCGCTCGCTGTTAGGCTGAAAGAAGGCAGAGGCGACACACAGGCCAAATGTATAATTCCTGGATAGGTTAAGTACATGTTTGAACTTCTGCAGACTGATGCCTTGGGATGACGACTTAATCATTTTCTGCTGAATTATGGGATGTTCGCAAGTGTTTTTTTGTGCTACGACATATCATTTAGTGTTTTGTTTCATGGGGTGGCTGAGAACTGAGAGAGCTAGACTGGTTATTTTTGTTTGACAAGCAGATGACATGATCCTTAATTGCTGAGTTGTCACGTTCCAGCAACGCGGCTCCATTGTCCCCCGAATCTCTGGTATTTCTATTCGGCAACAATGCTTTTTAAATCTCCCTTTATACAGCGCTGCCAAACGATGTCATGCGGACTTACTTTTCTGCGCTCTCCATTATGTCATCCACTAGCCATTCTAGAAAAAAATGCCCCCCTCTCTCGCCTTTTATCCGACTCTTCTGGAAGCCCCACTCATATGAGACAATGTCTTATGACAATAGAATAGCCTAATCTCCATGTCAAAGCAATTTTCATTCCCCAGTGAGCAGTCTGCTATCATTTTGTAATGTTTTGTTTCTTATTCTAAAAGAATTAAGGGGATGGTGGGGGGCTGGAGTAAGTCGTCATGGGGGCTGGGGGTCCTTATCTCAGTGTCTGGAAATTTGGACAGTGCATTTCGCTCCGCAGATAAAGCAGAAAAAAAGAAGCCCCTCGAGTTCAGTAGATCCTAATAGGTTTAACGTCTATTGAAACGGGGGTAAGCGAGAGATCAGATAGCCTTGCTTCTTTCGTTGTTCTTTTTTTTTCGCCTCTTTCTTTCTTTTCAACCCCTGTTCTCGCTCGCTGTTAGGCTGAAAGAAGGCAGAGGCGACACACAGGCCAAATGTATTTTAATAATTAATAATAATTCAAGTTTGTATGGCAGTTTTCATAATACATATTGTTTCAAAGCAGCTTCTCAAAAAAATGCATGTTGCAATGTTATAGTCAGGAATTAAAAATAAATTAATAATAATAATAATAATAATGTTTAGAGCACCAGGTGAGTGAAGAATTGCATTGGTGCTCCTCAAATAAAATAGGTGCATAAAATTACAACATGCCAACACTTTAAAAACTTTTTAAAAAGTTACTTGTAAAATTTAATAGCTCGATTCAGAATCCAAAAAAACGTATTGTTCGAAACCAACCCATCTCACTTTCTCTCCCACAATCCCACCAAGACAAATGAGTGTTCGCAAGTGTTTTTTGTGCAACGACGTATCATTTAGTGTTTTGTTCCGTGGGGTGGCTGAGAACTGAGAGAGCTAGACTGGTTATTTTTGTTTGACAAGCAGATGACATGATCCTTAATTGCTGAGTTGTCACGTTCCAGCAACGCGGCTCCATTGTCCCCCGAATCTCTGGTATTTCTATTCGGCAACAATGCTTTTTAAATCTCCCTTTATACAGCGCTGCCAAACGATGTCATGCGGACTTACTTTTCTGCGCTCTCCATTATGTCATCCACTAGCCATTCTAGAAAAAAATGCCCCCCTCTCTCGCCTTTTATCCGACTCTTCTGGAAGCCCCACTCATATGAGACAATGTCTTATGACAATAGAATAGCCTAATCTCCATGTCAAAGCAATTTTCATTCCCCAGTGAGCAGTCTGCTATCATTTTGTAATGTTTTGTTTCTTATTCTAAAAGAATTAAGGGGATGGTGGGGGGCTGGAGTAAGTCGTCATGGGGGCTGGGGGTCCTTATCTCAGTGTCTGGAAATTTGGACAGTGCATTTCGCTCCGCAGATAAAGCAGAAAAAAAGAAGCCCCTCGAGTTCAGTAGATCCTAATAGGTTTAACGTCTATTGAAACGGGGGTAAGCGAGAGATCAGATAGCCTTGCTTCTTTCGTTGTTCTTTTTTTTTCGCCTCTTTCTTTCTTTTCAACCCCTGTTCTCGCTCGCTGTTAGGCTGAAAGAAGGCAGAGGCGACACACAGGCCAAATGTATAATTCCTGGATAGGTTAAGTACATGTTTGAACTTCTGCAGACTGATGCCTTGGGATGACGACTTAATCATTTTCTGCTGAATTATGGGAGAAGAACTCTCGCGGTGGCGCGGTAATTATGCTCTCGGCTGGCCTTTTGGGGAAACCTATCAGCCCGTCGTGGCTTTTGACTCTTTCTCCGATTCGGATTCCCCGCTATGATTTCTCGTTCGCTTCATTATCTTAAATTTGCAAGCACGGAGACAAGTTTCTACACGGTAATTACACCTACCCTCGAAAAACACGGCCGCCCTCCCCCCTCTTTGTTTCTTGTTCTTCCTCTTTTTTTTTTCTCCTCATGCTCGATCTCTCTCTCCTCAGCTGTCATCTAAACAGAGGCCTGCATGTTCTCATGGCCACAGATAGATAAGTGCTCGCTGTTGATTTTTGATTAATGCTCTTTGAGGGTATAGAAAGGGGAGGCAAAGGCAATGAAGGCTTGATGAACACCCATAATGACAAAAGGCAGGAGGCTGCATGTCAGAGCAGCCAACAGAAAGCCCGCTGGATTTATAGCTTTTAACTTGGCTACATTCAACTCAGCTGTCCTGTACATTCACACTCTTGGCAGCCGTGGCTTTTGCACACACACATGAACATACACATGTAGCTGCGCACACACAGAAAGGTCCAAAGGCTGTCGCACAGGTCATTTGCTGAGGTCATGGGGCAAGTACACAGGGCAAACAGAGTACTGTGTATTTACTGGTCTAGGATCAGGCGCTCCAAATATAGCTCCCACAACAGCGTACGAAGGCCAGCTTTGAGCTGCCGAGCTGAGCTATTCAACTAGAGCCGTACTTGTTGCAAGGTTTTCATGTAATTTAGATTTCTTCACTCAATTTCACCCTTTACTTGATCACTTACTTCACTCGATTATTAATGTGGAAAAAAAAACCCTGAGGCATGTCAGAATTAACTCGGCTACTTGATATGTAAATTTGCCGTTACTGCATTACGGACTATTGACACAATTATAATTTCATCTACTCAACCCTGAACTGTTTGCATTTGTGCACAACAGCAAATATCCGCACCGATCGTGTAAGCCTTGTTGGAGGGGAAAAAAACACCCCCTGACCAATCTGTCTCGGCTACGGGTTTGTTTGCTTACCCATCATCCTCAAGGACAATGTGAAGTAAACACGTTTGTAGAAACAAATGTCTTATCTGTTGTCCTGACATTTAAGGGTCTCACTGGCTAACCAGATTAGAGGTTAGTCACACCTGATTTTATTAGTTTTCAGTTAAAACAGATTAAAATAGTGGGAACCTTTTGGTATACGTTTTTTTCTGAAGAAAGAAATGACAATTTTTCTATAAAAAAAAATAATAATAATAAAAGATTACATACTGTATTCTTTAGTTTTATATTTTTTTCCTGAAAAAAAAAAACAGTTTTATGTGCTTTTTATGAAAACCAATAAAACAAGTGCGACTAACATTAAATCTGTTACATGTTTTACCTGAAGGAAATTGTTGCTTTTCAAAAAAAAAAAATAAATCTTGTGATATTTTTCATCTAAATAGCTTGTGTCATAAGGAAAATGCATAATATCAACAATCAAATCCTTTTTTTATTATTAATCAATAAATAAATAACTTGTATCTACTGATGAGCACAAAGGCACTCTGTAAATATCAAAAACATTTCTCTGTGCTGAACCTACAGCAACAAAAATTACAAGTGTTTCTGTTCCCCCCTCCCCCCCTCCCCTCTCTCTCAAAGTTCAACCGCTGCATCACATCTCAGCTGATCAAGTGGTTCAGCAACTTCCGTGAGTTCTACTACATCCAGATGGAGAAATTTGCTCGGCAGTCCATCAACGACGGCGTGACAGGGACAGAAGAGCTGAGCGTGAGCCGGGACTGCGAGCTTTTCCGCGCTCTTAACATGCACTACAACAAGGCCAACGATTTTGAGGTGAGCCCTCGTCCGTTACCTCTGTTTCACACTACTGCATTCACCTTATCAGACGACACTGTATTACGAGGTGAGATTCACGCAGTGATGCATAAGGTATTATGAATCCTTTGAATCCTTTCCGTTAATGTTAGCGCAGTTCAAAGCTTTAAAATTAATACAGGTAAATGATCTCTTTATATGATTAGACAATGAATGGCAAGCTGTTCATCCCATAAGCCCCACCCCCACGCTCCCTCCGCTCGCCGTACTCCTGGGGTAAAGTGAACAAGAATTTTTTTCTCCTTTTTTTTGGCCGAAACACAGTCATGCATCTGTCTGTTTGATGAGGCAAACAGGGAGCGATGCTTCAGGCCCAAGTGTCCTTGTCAAATACAATTTGCAGAGCTCACATTTACCGCTCAGCTCACTATCAATATCTGCCCACTGGGACTCTGGTCATTCAAACACTATCCTTACAACATCATCATCATTTAGCTGACTATTAGCAAAAATCTGGCCCCATCCCCCTCCCCTCACTTTCATTTAAATCAGGTCAAAGCCAAGGTTTATTGTGATTGCAGGTACATAGAACATGCGCGCCACACCTTTCGCGACCAGGAAGATATTTAGGGACACGATCCCTATTTTCATATATAAATGCAAGATTTGCATGGCTGTGGAAGAAAGTGCAGGGCACCATGAATAAGACTGTTGTTGGTAGAGAAGTCGAACCGAGGGAGAGATTGTTTTGCATATCAAGAGCCACAAAGGCTGCACAGGTGTACAAGCAGGACGGCCTGAAAGACTTTCCCAAATGCTCATTTTCCATGCAAGGAAAACTCGATCTTTAATGCAAATTTCAGCGCCCTACTCTGTTCCTTTTTTCCTACTGGGCTGACTCGTCTCACGTCGCGTCTCGTCTAGCGTGCGAAGACATCCCACAGCAAGTCCGTGCCGCAGAGAGAGGTCACACAACCTTTAGCGGTGCAAAGGGACACTTCATGCTGAGGCTTTTTTGTACTAAATTTTCTCTTCTCCACCTGTCAGACTGCGAGGCATGAAACTGGAACCCTCGCCGATTCAGCAAGTCGCTCTTTCTGCCAAATTTAGCATCATCAAAGTTCCACCTTGCTAGCTCCTCCTGAATGAATATACCCTCTGTTGTGCTGATCGTTTGATGTTAATCTAGTCTGTCAATGTGCACCAGTAATGTGCTTCCTCCTCCTTTGAGACTTTCTTTTTTGTAGTTGGGCCCTGTCATTTCTCTCTCCCTCTCTTTCATTGCACTTCCTTTCGCTGCCTTGTGTCTTTCATCCTCTTCGAATGTACTCACCCCTCACTTTCCCATTACAAACTTTTTAATGACATAATTGTCACATTCCTCATGGTGGAATGAGCAAAGGCCGTAATTAAAGGAGCTTCATAATTGCCTTCAATGCACTTGGTGTGTTGTGCTCACCAAGCTTGCTGTTTTCTTTCAAGTTGTTTATCCTTCATTCGGCTCCTCCTCCATCGCGCTGTCTCGAAACGCCATCGTTTCTCTCCTAATTACTGCTCTGTTTGTCTTAGCTGGACAATGGCACAAATTAACACAATCAAGGACATTTGCATAGACACAGCTTATGATGTCCGGACCCTGAAAGGCTCCCAAAAAAAAAAAAAAAACCAGAAATACCGTCTTTTCTCCCAAAAAACGCCATCGTTTCTCTCCTAATTACTGCTCTGTTTGTCTTAGCTGGACAATGGCACAAATTAACACAATCAAGGACATTTGCATAGACACAGCTTATGATGTCCGGACCCTGAAAGGCTCCCAAAAAAAAAAAAAAAACCAGAGATACCGTCTTTTCTCCCAAACAGAGCCGCCAGCAATGTGGCAAGTGTTATCTCTTCGCTGAAGGGGTTTCTCTATGTACAACTCAGATATGATCAAGCCTAACAAGCCTGCTTAACTGTTGTCTGGGAACATCATTTGTTTATCCTGCGTAGCTAAATGAACACATTAGAATGATATTTTATTAAAGGGGTAGTTCAATTGAACATGAAAATTTGGTCATTATTTTCTCTCTCCATGTCCTTGGAAACCTGTATACTGTTACTTTTTTCCCATGGAACCCAAATAGAGCAACTGAAATTAATTCGCAAGTTACAAAAAGGCAACATAAAGGTTGTCCATATGTCTTGTCTGATATATTCAAAGTCTTCTGAAGTCTCATATAGCTTTGTGTGAGGAACAAACTGAATTTACGGTGTTATTCACGGAAAATCTTAACATTTGCAATTATTAAATCTTAAATTTAAAAAAATGAAGATTGTCAGTGCTTAATAATTTAACTCCTCATATTAAGCTATTGTATGGCTACTGAAGACATGGACTATTAGACCAAAACTCGTCTGGACCACGTTTATGGTGTTTTTAGAGCTGGACTGATCTTACATGGAAAAGAGTTGCATAAACATTCTACAAAACTTCTTTTTTTGTGGTTCACTAAAAAACAAAGCGTAGGGGGTTTGGAAAAACAGGAGTGTGAAAGATATTTGGCAAACAAATCCTTTAAAATCCAAAGAAAAGTTACAGAGCATTTAATCGTATAAAGAAAGTGAACACCGGTTAAAACTTGCAGCACAGTTACGCATTGTTAGCCAAAGTGGCGTTTCCTGGCCCTGTAATTGTGGCATCTGGTTCTCAGGAGCCGTCTTCACACTTACTGTATCACATCACAGGCACCATTGAAGAGTTCTAAGAGGGGTGGGGTCCACGGGCTCCACTGGGATAAGGAGACATTTTTATGACAGCTCTGGGAAGGTCTCATCTTTCGGCCACAAAATAGTTCAAGGCTCTTCTGTCAAAACCCCCTGAGTGTCCTCCCTCCCAACTTGCCCCAGACCCGCCTTGTCTTCAGTCCTTGTACCCTCCTCCCATGAACCGGCTGAGGAGAGCATAGAGGAGGCTTAGTCTCTCGCTATTTTTCTTTGGTCCCTGTGATCTCTGAGCCTTTTTGAAAACGTGTTGGTGGCCATATACCCACAGTACACTCACACAGACATCCTTTGACTTCAAGAGTTCTCGTCTTGGTATCTTCAGGCTATCAGGTGTCCGTGGCTATTATCACACTAAGTGAATGAAACTTCGAGACTTTGTTTGTTTCCCACTCACATATGAGTTTTGTTTATGTGGTGAAATTTCAAGGTTAAAAAGATACCGTTATAGTTGAGGGAATACTTAAAGGTGAAGTGTGTAATTTCTGCGCCGCTAGCGTCAACAAACGGAACTGCAAAATTAATGGCTTTAATTAACAAACTCTCCCCTTGTCTGCTATTGGTTGGTCAAACAGATTGTCCCCGCCCACAATACATGCTATTGGTTGATCCAATGTTGCTGTTGTCGGGCTGCACAAACAAACAGAACCAATGTTTATACTTTTAGAGAAAATCTAAAATTCTAAGGCTTACTTAAAATTTCATATTAAGGTAGAATATTATATTAAAAATTGCACACTTAACATTAAAATATCTACAAGAAAAGCACATAATGTAAATGATGCAATATAAGATGTTCTGACCGGCAACACTCTCCCCCTCGAAAAAGATCAATTATCCAACACGTCCCCCTCTTCTCCAGGTTTCTCTTCCCTTTTGTTTCTTCTCTCGTCTCCTCTTGTCCATGCCTGGTGTGACCTACCCCAAAGGCCTTCATTATTAATTGTCCTTTGGAGACAGGGAAAAGTTCAAAGACTGCACGGATGGTCCCTTTACTGCGACCGTCTATTGTCTAACATTCATCTCTCTTTACCCTTGTTCCAGGAGTGTATTATCTCCCCTGCCTCATGAGAAAAGAAGGTTATCAATAAGAGCGTAGAGAGCTGCCATCGTGACTGCCAGGAGGTCCTGGCCTCCCAAGTCCACACACAGCTCCCCCACAGAGGGCTAGTTTACTGTTGTTTATCTTTGAGCTGCTAGCTTGTGCCACGCTACACTAGCACATCTTAGGATCGGGCTCTGGTTTCACTTCTTCCTCTCTGACCTCACACTGACCTGCAGTGTGGTCTGCCAGCTCACCTCACCCTCCCATTATAACGCCACTCAAAGCTACAGACAATGCTATAAGATAGTGGTGGACATTTAAAGGACACATTAGGGACGGTTTAACTTATCCTTACAGTTGTAACCCCTTAACCCCTATTTTCTTTCTGGGGAAAAACAAAAAAAAGTGTTTAACATTAAGTTTTTTTTCCTCTACATGTCACTAGCATCAACAAACTAAAAGATTGTTTTCAAACAGGTTTCCTTGAACACTCCCCCTTCTGTTATTGGTCCTCACCAACTCACGCCATTGGTTGAGCCAATGTTGCTGTTGTCGGGCAGGTCAGGATGCTCAAACAAACAAAGTAATGTTTTGAAAGCATCACAGAGCCACAGTGTTTACGCTTTTAGAGGAAATCAACCTACAAATGTCTTACTTACAGTTATCCCTGCAACTTAAAAAGCAATTTACCTCACACATGCACATATAATGCTATTTAATGTTCAAATTAAATTAGTAATACTTATTTAATTTTCTGAGTTTATCATTTATGCCCTAATTTGAAAGCACAGAAAACCATGTCCAACAAAAGATTAAAATTATTGTTGTGATATTTAACCTGCGTCCAATATGCAGCAAAAGTATATAAAATATCTGCTTGAATGAAACTGAAGACAAAGTACGACTTGATGCCCCATTGTGTGGCAAGCGCACATGCAGCTGGGATGGCACCCCTCACAATAAGTGTTCTGTGGTAAACCCTTAGCCCGTCATGTGATATCAAGAGTCACTGTGGTCAGATGATGCAGACTATTGTCTTCAAGGGCTCTTGGGTCACAATCATCTTCCTCTGTCTAATTAGATCATACTGTCTGATGGACTGACACTTACAATTTCAGGATAAAAAGTACTCTTTTACAAATAAAAGAGAATTTTAAAACATGCATTACTAATAATACAAATAGGATATAAAAATACTTCTATGCTTTAATAT